GGGCATGTGAAGTGGGAGTCATGTGGCGTGACACTCAGGTATCTACGTCAATTCGGGGGTAAGGTTGTAATTAGGTTGACACAAAAGAAAAACCGGTCACTGACCAAGTTAATAAATAATTTTATCGTAGGTAATTATAGGTTGGTTACCATTTGACCGACTAGCTATTAATGTGACTTTACCAATTTCAATACTGCGGTCCATTTATTAAACAATGGATAGGTAGAAAATAATGAGTTCACAAGAATCCGTTAATATTTTTCGAATGAAAACTAATAAAACCATATTTCAGAGCAATCAGGAGTTTGCACGTAGTTATAGATTTTTCGGAACTTGTAGTTTGCAATGCTGATTGTAACACAGACATACCGAAATTTCCCGGAAGTCGGGGTATGTGACCGGCCTGAATAGGCATAATTCTGCGAAGATCGTTCAATAACACCCGAAACTTCCCACGATTTATTAAAATATCTATCTGGATCATCTCTTCAGCATTCTGAGCTATAACTTCATCATTACTTGGCATCACGTGTCATGGGCAAAGTTACCAAGTACCGCATATGAGTGATAAAACATTATCAGTATGAATTCTGTGAATATGTTTATTTGGCCCAACTCTTCGCGTCTAATAAAGAAGTACCGAGAACAACGGTATTCACTGTGAAATTGAAATCGGAGTGTGCCAGCTAAGTTCTACGAAACAGTATGACCTCCCTAAATAAATACTTGGTTCGGCATTTCGTCCTCAATATGACAGCAAGTCACCTTTGTTACATTTAAACCCAAGTTTTTTTTATAAAAAGGTTCAATGGAATTTCTCAGCAGCGTAAGCGAGTCGATTTGAAATAAGTAATGCATACCAGGTTTTTAATTAACCTGAAAGTTTTTGGTTAAATTAGGAACTTTAGAACTGCTAAAGTAAAAGTATCTACTTTGTGTTATTTTAATAAGCTTCCGTAATCTTAATATACCACGAGATTTACTTGAATTACCTTCCGTTGGCGAAAATGTGTAATACCTAACAAAGTTTTAGTAACGTATGATAGTTGGTTACCTCAAAAATACAAACAATTAACATAAAACTAACAGTAAATCCACCATTTGTACGAAAAAAAAACATAAGTGAAAGTTTGAAACGATGTAACACGACAGTGGATAGGTATTGAAAGTTCGTACCCGCGTGTCTGACACTTAACAGTTACCATCTGCCCTCTCTATGAGGATAAACATTGATTAATCTCATGGGAACAACGTAAAGCCAGTTAATTGCGCTAAGCTGAACAAAATAAATCATCTATATAAATTAGGGGGCTTATGCTTATTCAATGGGTGGCAGCTGCGCTACGAGTGCGCGTTCGCGCCAATGACAGCCGGCAGATGGTTGTGAAAGCTGCGCAGTCGCAGGTAAGGGATTCCGAGAACGCCGAATATAATCGCACTACGAGGAACTCGCTCTCTATGGCACGCTCGAATGCGAATCGAACACCTGCGCGCGCGACTACGCTAAGGCCTTTATACTCGCAACGCTTTTATTACACCCTGTCCAAGCGCTGAAGAGGATGTTAATTGTAACGTATAAATGTATTGTTAGCTATACCCTCTGTTTGTATACGAAGGGATCAATCATCAAATCAACTATATCGTGCGGGTCCTGTGTGATTCGAAGCTTTTATTAACGTCATAGTAATCTATGTTGATAATCAAAAAGATATGAAAGGATTTTTTTTTTGTTAGTTTCTATTGATAAATAGAGATTGTTCATCGATCCAAAGAGACACTAACGTTTACGTAAATGACATCATTAAATCGCTTAATATGGTACCTATTTTTCCTTATCCAGCAAGTAGACAAAATTCTATTTTAGAGGTACAAATTTTCAGAAATTATCAGATAATGAAGTATCAAGTAGATCGACAAGATGTTTCCGGGAAACATCTTATCCCCAATTCTCTTATTTTATTATAAAATACAATAACAAAACAAATGTATTTCTTTATTTACAAAACACAAGCTACATAAAATGTAAATGTGTCATGCGATTGTAGAAAATTATCTGTTCCATAATCAAAAGTAGGGTAAGTTAGTCTTATGAATCATTTTCACGTTGAATGAAACATAAGACCAAATTAAAGCTACCTCTTTGTAGTGCGATGACTGATCATTTTATCTAATCATTTCATCAAAAAGGAAGCTGTCTTTACCATTTATCAGTGTTGCGTAGATTGAGGGTTCATTGTTTATGTTTATATTTGGTCCTATTCAGGTACTTCTATTATTATAAGAGGAAAATAATTGCTAAAACATTTGTGTTGATGTTTTGCTACAAATCAAACCATTTTTAAATGGTTGTCGATATTTTTGCCATAAATTTTACGAAAAATGTGACAAATCGGTTATACCGGTATTTATAAAGAACAAATTAATATTTTTTAAATTTATTTACAGAAGAATGTATGTATCGCACAAACAGTATCGAAATAGAAGTCTAGGACTAGGACTGACATTCCTTATACGCAAACAAAGCAATATATGAATAACATTCGCAGAAATCGAGATCGTGACGTGTTGTAAAAGGTAAAGCCATTAAAACTAACAGGACACAAAAGACTTTCCATTGTGGCTCGCGAACGAAGGTATGCGAAGTAGAATTCTATGATCGAAGCTAGTCAAACATCCAATAATACGTTAAATTACGACGCCATGTCGCCATGTTATTGTATCCCATTCACTGCGTGAGGCCGCACAAATATTGGGCAATTACGGCCTAAGGCAGTCTTGTAATTATTGACTAACGTATTGATGAATTTGTAGCTTCGATATCGGAGTGTATAATTAATAATTCTGACGATTGTACCTAAACGCTAACCGAATACCATACATATCTAAATGCGGTACGCGATCAATGTAATCGGTTTTACGAAACAAAAATAACCGAAGTAGAAACAAACATCGTAAAAGAAATCTTGGAAATCAATATCCAATTTTACGATAAATTATTCATGTTAAACGCAATCCAGTGAGAGCCGATTTTGGAATTCGTATTACAAACCAAGATACATTACTAACGAAGCTCCTACTTACTATGAGCTATGAGCATACCTAACAGCGCCTTATTATTGTAACCACGTAGGTAGCAACTCTAAAAGTTGAACATTGAATTGACGTCAGGTTAATAAATGAGAATTCGGTGCGATTAACACACACTAGGTAGTTTGTTGTACGGAAACTAGGTACCAGCTTGGCAAGTGAATGAATTGTTTAGCGTCTTGTTAGAGATTCGGTACCCTATCTACACATACACACAGTGAAATGATCAGAGTAGGTAGTTAACGGATAGATAGGTAGGTAGACAAGTATAGTTATGTCGTAGCGTGGGCAGTTTTACGTAAGTTTCTTAGAATTGTGGGCATGTAGAAATATTTCAGATTACAAAATAATGCTATTTTCGACAACACGTTGTCTAAAATAATAACTATTAATTTGATAGGTACATAAGTAATTAAGTACATACGTACTTAGAATGTCTTCAAAACAAGTTTTTGTGGTTCGAAATATACCTATGTTTATGCTTTTTTGGTGTGATTCGTGCTCGCATACGGATACTTTCACATTGTTATGATTGTATAACGAATGTAGCTATTAAAATAAAACTTCGCTGCTTACAGACCACAAAAAATCAATCAATAATATACAAATCTCATCAGTACCTAGTAAAGTTGTAACCTACTTACTTAAGCACTGTGACTGTTACTAAAATTTCACAAGAGCCATTAATTTCATTAATTATGTACATATTAATGAAACAGACACTATTTAAAACGTTTTTGTTACAATGAAATTCACAGAAAGTCGAGCGTAAACGAAAATGACACCTTGTATTGTAACGGTTGGAAACGTCAGAAAAAATGCGGGAATGCGTGACTAGTGGTGCACGCATCACTATAGTCAATTTGCTCCGGTAACCGGGTCAACGAGTTACTAGGAAACGTAATTTAATCGTCATAAAATCTGTTACTCCCAAATTCATCTTCAATCGTTCTACCTAAGTTTTTTTTTATATAAGATGGGTCGACGTTCGGCCACTAGGTATCTCGTAAGTATTACTGATATTCGCAATCAAGGAAAAGGTATTAAATATACCTAATGTTAGAAAACTAAAATTAACCATTAATTAATTAATATTTGAATCGTTTTAGAAGGTAGTGAATTAAAATATCTAAATTGGTCACTACATTTACCACGTGACACTTTATAAAATACATTTTTAAGTTTATTATATTAAAAAATGTGTTACATTTTTACATTACATGGCGGTCTAAATTCACAATCATTAAAAAAAACATTTTACTTAGAATCGTTTAAAGTACATATTACTGAAAACAACACAATGTAGATAGCAAATAACTAGATAACTAGTAATTATTGTCGGTGAATGAATTCTGAGAAGGCAGTGAACGTTCGAGTTTCGTATCACACTGTCTGTTGCGTTGCTCAGCCTCGCGTCCACCAATCCCCTCCATCTATTCTGAATTCAGTCGTCTACTGAGTAGCGCTGGCGTCGCGTCAGTCCACTAAAAGTCGGATAACGCGACGGTCGTGTCCCGTCATTCTCGTTTAATAATTTATTCTAGTTTTAGTGTTTCGCTAATGTACTCGTAAATGTGAGCATTAGCTAAGTGAAATAAACATTTTCGTTTTTAGTTGCAATCATATCAAGGGCTACTCTATTTTAAGTTTAGTTTTTGAACTGTAATGACATTTTGTGAGTTTGTGACATTGTGACAGTGACATTTGGAAAGTTTTCGAAAATTGTTTTTGAATTATTTTTGAAACTTTTTCAAGAAAGTGAATTGAACTAATGAATACAATACTATATTGTATTTAACAATGAAAATGTGGATGTAAATCATACGGTATTAATGTGTACACAAGTTTGAGTGAATCGCGGCCTCCTCACGACAGGTGGGAGAAACACGTACGGAACGTTGTTCTTTGAACAAATGTGTTTTATTGAAAGGCGAGGAACAACAATCTGTCCTTTAAACATGACGTTAGCAGCGAGGTTATCTCCTCAAAGTAAGTTTTTGTTCTCTGCAAACCGTCTAAAGAAAAACTCGAGTTATAAAGTTGAAAAGTGTTATTCAAGTTAGTTCGTTTGCTTCGTGTATGTGTTACAATATTAGCACATGGCTTTTATTCAGTCTGATTAACACAAATTTACACACAGCCTCCTTATCTGCCTTTTGTATCTAAAAATAGTGTGATATGAGAGCAAAGCAAATATATTTGTATGGCCAGTGATAATAAAAGCAAAGAGGTTTTATACGAAAAATCCTTATTTGTTTCATACTTCGAAATTTTATTAAATAAGGCCAAATGTTTCTTCGTTCTCAGAATGTAAATTAATTTGATTCACTTATATAGGTATATTTTGTGTCTGTACATTCAAATAATGTTAAATCCACTTTTATGAAATTAAGCATACAATTATCTGAATTACTATAAATATTAATGAGTTCTCATCAGCCACTGTGTATACAGGTTTTATTAGTTGCTACAGAAATTAAATACATAAAAGCTAAAACACCATAAAATAATAACACATGGTAGGTATTTTCTGTTTAAATAAAATTAATACTATCAACCAAAAACATTTTGTACAACTTTTCCAAATTTAAAAAATATTATGTCATAGATAACATTTTCATTAAGTTTTTCATAATCAGTACAGATAATTATCACTTTCATTCATTTTTATGAATGTAGATTTAATTTGTGGTTCAAGATTGTACTAATGGAAGTTAAAATACTTGTAAATTTATCAACAAGCAGGAAACAGGATATGTGTAAATATAAAAAAAGAACTTTCATTGAGTTTTGCCGAAAATTATCTATACATGCAATTAATGGCATATTTCCTGTCATTTTAAAATTAGTATCTTACTATATCATGTAATAAGTGTAATGTCCATTATGATAATGTAGTTTATAGACACTTTATGCTAATTTTGTTTCTCTATCTTTCCAGATGCCTGTGTGGAAGTGGCGGTGCCGCTAAGTAGTTGGTCGACGGGAGTAGCATGTTGCCCCAACTGCAGGCATGAGCTCCGCGTGTCACTTGCCCCGCACGCGGGCAAGTGCCACGCATCGCCCCACACGCCACCCCCCTTCACAGTCCAGCCGACATACTTGCCACACTCACCCACCACAGTACCAACCTCACCCTTCATCCCTTCACCATACAATGATGAGCTGAGGCGGTTAGCAGACACCCTCAGAGCATTAAGGCTGTCTGGCTGGTACTACGGCAGTTTGGACTGGCTGGTGTGTATTTTTCAGTTTATTGCATGCTAGCGCCATCTCTTAGCAAAGTTGGGAACTAAATATTTTTACTAACTCAAAGTGGGCATTCAAATTAAAAAAAAAACAAAGAGATCTTGTATAGGAAAATCGAAGTTCATTGTCAATTTGCTCCCAGAGGATAAAATTTAATTTTATTTATTATACAGATCTACATTATTTGGTTTTGGTTTTCCTCAAACATTAACAGTACTTACTTTAAAATTAATTGACTGACAGCCGGATTTAGTACAATAAATTACGGTTTTTATTTGTTGAAAAATAGATTGTTCAGTCTTCAGTGTAATGAGTTGGTCTTGTCTTTAAGACATGCATTAATCAAATAGTTCTTTGTTATGTTTCTTAGTATTGAGCTGAAGATATAAAGAATGAGGTTGAAGTTTAGTGACCTTTGTAATAATCTCTGTGAAATATTGGTCATTGACTTGTGTTTAATAAATCTTAAGAGATTACGAGAAAATGGAATAACAGGTCGTTTGTTTGCTTTTTAAAAGATTAGATTAGGTACACCAATGTAGATTTTATGTAATCAGATTTATGTTAAGCATGTAGTGTATTTTAATAACTTCATGTATTTTATAATCTTCTTTCTTTCTTCACAGGGAGCCCGAACAGTCTTGAAAGACGCGAGCGTTGGTGCGTTCGTGATCAGAGACTCTGGCGATAGGAACTTCATATTCTCATTATCAGTACAGACTGAGCGAGGCCCCACTTCCGTGAGGCTACATTACGAACAAGGATTCTTTAGGTAAGCATAAGCATACATTTTTGTTCAAATACTTATTTGCTATAATAGCCCTTATATTTATTGACATTAAGTTTAGTTTATATTCATGTAAAATTAATGTTGTGTCCACATGAATGTAACATGTAATTCAAAACACTTATTGATTTCGTAAAATTGGAAAGTTTGATGAGTCAATTAGTTCAAAGAACAATTAACTTTAACACAATGCATTAGCAATTTTATTAATAAAATGAATAATATCTTAAGGACCAAGTATAGATGATTTTGCCTCCACATTGCGTCATCATTACGTGTAATCTTACGTCACAAGTTCACAGTAACACGGTTGCAAATGTTACGATGCTACCGTGCTACCGTTGACTCAGATCCCGCGGTTTTCCTTAATTTTATTGTCACGTTTTTATTGGAAACTTTTTTGGGTATTCGTTCGGCTTCTGATGACCATGACGATTACAATCGTTTACTTTTATCTAGTTGAGGTTTAAATATAGACACATTTAGTTGATAATATGTAGAGTATAATACTAATAGTGTGTTATTTTTCCAGGTTAGACTGTGACAGGCCGTTGGCGAGGTATATGCCACGCTTCAGGTGCGTGGTGGAGCTTGTACAACACTACGCGCGGGTGGGAGAGCGTGGCGCGGCGGGTACGGTGTGGGTGGACCGCGAGGGTTGTCCTCACTCCCCCGTCATGCTGAAGTCCCCGCTCCGCAAGTCACCCCCTTCACTCCTCCACGCGGCCCGCCTGGCAGTACACAAGGCCCTCGACTCCAACCCCCTCACGCCAAAACTATGGACCGCGCCCAAACACAGGCTGCTTCCACTACCTTCCACACTAATAGACTATCTCGGAGAATATCCGTACTCGATCTAACGCTCTGAATATTCATATATCTTAGTTATTTATTTAGTCCAATCTGAGCGATGCCTAGTGAAGATATTAGTTATATAGAAGTGGTCGCGAACGGTCGCTGTCTCAACTGATCGTGGTTAGATTCCTATGACTGGGTGGCGGATGGGTCGACGTACTGAGCTGCTAGTTTCCTAAGGTGGACTTCGAGTTTGCATTATCATAATATTATAATCTTATTTGTACAAATTAATATGCATTGTAATACCTAGTACAGGTTACTAGAAAGGGCCGGATCCTTTAAATACCGACTAACAAAATAATTTATAAAATAGTAAAATTAATAATGTTAACTGTATTATTTGTAAGTATTGAATATGGGACTCAACTATGGTATTTAGTGAAATGTTTTCGCAGATTATTTTTATTAAGCCTATTCTGTGTCTGTATATAAAGATGTTTTGAGAAAATAACGCAAGACTGATTCCTGGAACTTGAAGTACTGTTTGTGCAAGTATTGCGTGAATAAGTTTCTGTCGCGTCCCACAGCTCGGGCTCGGCCTGGCTGTGCGCGCCCGCAATGATTCCCTGCTGATATTATTATTGTAGCAAATTGTTCACTAATGCCTAATCTTGTCCATCGTGTTAAGCAAGTCATCACATTATATAATAGAGCTATATTTTTATTTATTTATTCTTGGTTAAGTTAGGATTACATGGACCTTACAATTTGTTCTTTCTTGTTCCTATTCACGGTTGGTAGACACGTGTCCCTGCATGCCGGTGTGTTTCGGCACTCGGCACTCACACATACATAACCTAGTTATATAAAAGTGCCATCAAATCATTTAAAAACCATATTGAGAACTGTAATATGTAATTGAAATGGAAGTATTTTGAGGCTGAACACCATGTACATAGTTCTTGTTTTGTTTTCTATTTATTTCCTTTTATTGATAAGTAATGAGAAAATATGAATATATAGTCGCCACTGTGTAACCATGTAATGGTTTGGTGTTGTGTAAGCTTTGTTTGTGCTGAACTTTGTGACATTAGGGGGTAGAAACTTCGACGTAGCTGGATAACGTTTCATTAGGCTGTAGAATTAATAATATATAATATGTGTAGTGTCACCAAGTTTAACACAAGCAAAGCATAGAATGTGAAGAAAGTTCGGCTAGTGACATTCACTAATATAGTATAGACCATGTATGTACCTTGAATAATCTCAATTATACTTAGGCTTCACAATATGAATATCATTTATTAGAAAAATATCCATAAATATTAAATTAATGAGCCTCAAAATTATTTAATGATAACTTATAATTACCTATCCGCTGTCTTCGTAATATATATAACCAATTGTCTTTGAAACGAAGTTATTTTTGTACCATTTTGTAAGGGGAATGCACCAATTAAATAAATGTGACATAATAGAGAATACTTGTGTTTAAATGTTTGTAGATTAATGTATTGAAAGAACTGCAAATAATTTATATACAAAAAAACAAAATATACATTCTGCCTATAAACTTTGATTTTTATTTATGAAAACCTGAATTACCTGACTGCACACAGTAAATATGGAGGCCATCAGGTCAATCTATCCATTTCTGTCAATATAACATCTTTGAGTTTATGGTACCAAACCAAATCATTTATAAGGTATTGACATACGGTCGAAAATCCAACGAATAAATTTTACGGATTGAAGCCGGTTTATCGACCGGCCAAAACTGGCGGGTCGAACGTGTAGCCTCTTAGTAAGGGCGTATGAATTAACCGCCGTACTCAGAGTCATTTAATAGTTATGTATATAACCCGCTACTTCGCAATTGTTTACCGAACAAAACCGCCGGGCCCTCAGGGAAGTGATCGGCGATGGCGACCTCTCGCGTCCGGGCCTAGTACAGGCTATGATGCGGAGCGAGGGGGAATGAGATGCCGTCTCCTCCTTTTGCGAAGCAGTCATGCTAGCTAAGGAGGAGGTGGGACGCGTGAGGCAGGGAAGCGCTGCCTCCTCACAACCCAGCCATCGCGAAGGACACACCGGGCATTGGGGATCGCGGGACGATCTCCGGCCACCGTAAGCGCGGGCCTGCGGACAGCGAGCATGGGTGGCTCCCCGTCCGACCAGAAACAGACCCATCGTACGGCTCGTCGCGTTCCGCACGCGCCTCAAAGAGCCATCAGACCACCACAGATGGGGCCCAATAGGGCCGATGCCGATTCGGAGTCGCGGATAACCTAACGGGTAACCGAGACTTCGGCTCGACGTGCAGGAGAAGGAACGGGGTGGTTTTTAGTCAGTAAGAGTCTGACACTCCCTCCCGCCTCACCCAGGCGGGAGCAGAAATTCGATGAAAGTCCCCCCCTTAAAAAAAAAAGACTTGTGTGCATGAGTTAGGGCCGATTTTTCAATCATCAGTCTTAACTGTAGAATGAAATTGACATTTGATTGTTTTTAGTATGGAAGAATGTCATACATTCAAAGTTACTCCTTAGTTATTTATCCTTTAGAGTGACTGCCATAGATGCGAAACTTTGCTTTCGCATAACTATGAAAATAAGTGACCTACAGACTTGAAATTTTAGATTTTAAGTATGTGATTATAGTTTACTATAATTATGATGAAAATTTCTGCGTTCTGGTCTTATCCAGAGGTTCTCAAATAGGGGCCTGAAAATGCTGCGACGTGGTTCCAGTAAAGGATGGTACGGCAGTGTTTGATTCGCGTTCGACTTGTCGGGGTCGGGAGCACTGCCGTGCTCCCAGATCTGGCGTTAGAAAAATTGGCCCTAAATATACTACCTATATAATGACTACACCACTACAGCGGGTTCGATTCCCAGGTCCAATATAGAATCGGAGGTACAGTTTGAATATAAGGTCATATCTCTGTGACTTGAAAATTCAAAGGTGACTGATTGCATATCAAAAATAACACAAAATAAATGTAAGTTAGAGGAAGTCCTATCTATGCTGACCATGTTAAACAATTGATCGACAGTCTATTTATCTACCAAACTGTTTTTAACTTTTGTCGATTAAATACTCTAAGCTTTTAACAGATATCTTTTAAGATTGAACAAGTTTTTGATATTTTGAAAAAGAGAAAAGGACTACGTAATAAAATAAAAAAAAAAATTAACATGTGAAGGACGGTAGGTTTTTGTATTTACCGCGGTTGCTTCTATTCGTTTAGTTACTTCATCTTTCATAAAATGAAATACAAACTTTCGGTAATTGTTATCGATAATAATGAAGACAAAACAACTCTCCACCTCAATGGTAAATAATAAAAATACTTTAAAATAAACAATAAAATATTATTCGCACTGTATGGAATAAGAATATTATATTCAAATACAGTCAGTGCTTCTATGTGAGAAGTAGAAACGAGAACCGTCAAACATCTGTGCTAGGCTAGTGGAAACGAAGGAACAAAACGCAAAAGTGCTTTTGGGTTATTGTTTATTGATTGGATTCGTGCTTTCCTTATTATTCATAAAAATAAGATCTATTTGAATAAAATACAATGTGAAATGAAATATATATGACCCTACGCCATGTCAGCTAATGGGAATGGTGGGTTCTATGCACCGCTGAAACAAATACTGTCCGACTCTGAATCAGAGGATGATAAGCTTGAAAATGCAATGCATATCAAAGCTACGGATAGTTGCAACAACCTGGACTTCAACAGTGGCCTGCAATCTTCAAAGAACTACAGCATAAGTGACATGGACGAGTTTAACACCAACGTGAATACAGTGGAGAGCACAATGGACAACGTAAGCTTCTTACAATCCGACATATCCACCAAGATGACTTTCCCGCGCCGGTGCGCGTTCATCGCTTCCATACTTATGTGCATATTCACCGTTGTGATATTCCTGTGGGGCATTCCTTGCTCAGAGGTCGGCAGCTGCGCCGCTAACGAGTGGCAAGACAAAACTACCAGCTGGGAGTTACCATACAATGAAATGGAACTGTCAGGAGCCGTACAGGTCGTCGACGGAGCGATTCCAAACACAAAGAACTTGATATTCATATACCGAGGCAATCATATGAGACTTGAACCTAAAACCAGCAGTGAGAATGTTAATGGTGTAGTTCTCATTGTTGGCAATTCTGGAAAAGTTGGCTGGTTCACAAGGGAAAGTAGAATACCAACTGATATCAACTGTCACCTGCTTGATGTCAATAGGGATAAACAAAAGGACTGTATTGTGTCAGGTACTGAGGGATTGCTTGCAGCCCTGGATTCGGTCTCTGGAACCTATTACTGGCACATTCACAAGCAGGGAAAAGATTTGAGTAAAATAGTTGCGCTTGACTTTCCTGTTATGGTGAAAGACATGAATGATGATAAAGTGAATGATTTGTTGACAGTTGCCACTGTTTACCCCAATGCTAACCACAACTCTCTACTGATGATATCTGGTGCTACAGGCATGATCATGGCTGAGCCAATTCCATTGATGATTGTCTGTCTGTGAAACTTCTAGCTGAGATGGATACAGTTACATACATCTGTAAGAATGGCACCACTGAAGCTGTGAGACTAATATCCTTTTCAGTATTAAAGAAAATGCTCAAGAAGGATCAGCCAATCAACCATACACAACCTCCGCCTACAGTCCTAAAAAGAATCAATGTAAGCATGAAGAAGAACATTGGAAACACTATAGAGACATTTACAAATGGTCCGGGAAAATTGAAGGTGGAAAATTCAGGGGAATGTCCAAATTCTTGCAGAGTTTACCTAAAACTTATGTTGGAAAGGAATGGCACAACTAATGTCAGTTGGGAGTACACGCTAACAATGTGTATGCTATGAGGCCTAGCTCTTTTGCCTTCGCAAACTCCATACGAGGCTTTGTGTTGAAATTATGACAGTGGAACAGTGCACACCTGGCAAAGGGTGCACTGAAAATTGATGAAGTCAGATACAATGTTCAAAATCAAAGTCCCAAAAATATTAATGACATGTTCTATCGATCCAATATAGATGTTGCATCAATATCGGCTTTCATTAAATACACCAACTTTACCGTTCATGACATTTCTGAGAGGATTGTTTTGGTACTATTTGACAAGCAGCAGACCCACAATGTGAACATTAGTCAAACGGACATTGTGCAGATTTGTGTGCGAGGGCCTATTGAGAGCAAGACCCCACTGCCTCTGTGCCAGCCTGACTTGGAGTACCAGGAGAAGTCTTTGATGATTGCAGATTTGGATGGAGATCAGTCCCATGAATTGATATCATATTACAGTACTTTTGTGGCTCCAGAATATACACCAAAGAATTCTAATCCATATGATAATTGGAGCCTAACTTCCTTGGTGAGGGTGATTCGTTTAGAATCGGAATTACCTAAGCTGTTTGTTACTGATGTTTAATGACATTATCTCATGTAATCATTTTGCTTTACAATGTATTCTGCTGATATATAAACTTCAATTTGCCAAATGTAATGCTGGTGTGCTGTATATGTAGCTTGGCAGCTAGCAATAGGTTGGTCTAGTCATTCATCTTGTACTTATTGTCCATTGTATTGTCAAAGGAAAGTTATCTAAGGTATTATGTGTAATATTGGGGCTTATAGCAATGTATTTATGCTCCTAGAAGTCAGTGTACTGATCAGTCCATAATTTCCTTGACATATTCTTCATATTACTTAGGTAAGATATTACTCATGCATGTAGTTTTTACAATCGTTTTCGCCTGGAGTGTTCAATGTTTATTATAATAACTATTAACAGTAGAACTAAGTATTCGTGTACCTATTTATATATTTCTAGTCTTTAGGATCATTGTGACTGTATACCGAGATAGTATAGTTTATCTCTGTTTCATTTTTCTAGTGGAATGGAGCCCCCTGTGGGTTTGTGTGATCGAAGTTTGGTATGTAACAGCCTTCTTCGAATAACAAATATTTTGCAATGTTCATTTATTTTTATCTTAAAACAGTTTTATCTGAATATATTTTTAGGCTAATTATGTAAAGGCCACCGTGGCTTTAATTTTTCAGAATCTCAATATGTTTTGGTCTGGTTATGGCACATGAAATTGCTAGTCTGAGTATTTATACCACTGTGGTGATAAGTTATGCTTCACTAAATGTCTATTTAGTTTCGTATTAGAAAATATGCGGAGTGAAGTGCCTTAACGCGGGGGCTATGGAGTGGTTCTTTTGCGTCGATTCGTTGAAATAAAAACTTGTCAAAAATATTCGGTATTTTTTTCTTTCCTTGATATCAAACTGCAGTATGCTAACATTTTAGGTTTCAGAATACCAGAAAGAAAACATCACATACTTGTACGAAGTTTTATTGCAAATACAAATAATGTCACTTTGCTTTGGAACTTAACAAACTTAAAAACAAATTAATCTTAAAAAATAATAAATCACTAAATAGGAATTTGTCCAATAATCAACTACTTGTATTTATAACAAAAATATAATGTAGATTTACATCTAGCAAAAATACTTAAGGTACAATTACTTAGCTATGAACATTGAATGCCACAATTGAGCCTTGGCAGCATATTATAGTATTTATAAAATTTTGAATTTGCATTCACATAACATTTTATACTTGAATCATCGTTTCAACTTTGACCTATCACAGAAATGTAGACTGATGCAGCAATGCAGTGTGCTAATGGAAGCCTTGGGTCTGAGCAATGGTTAGAAAAGAGTTAATGATGATGACTAATTGAATAATTTTACGAAGTTAGAAGTTCAGTTTTTGATCAGTGATGAGGACCTAACTTAGATTGGGTAGAATAATTTAAAAATTATGTGTTATTATAATGACTGAAACTACATGAAGATGGAATACAAAAATTAGATTACCCTTATATTTATATCATTCTAATCTATAAAGGCAACTTATGTCGTATAGAACACTAGTAAATTTAATTTTACAATTTCGAGTATAAATCAGTGCACGATTTGTTCATTCACAATCTCATAAAATATTAACATTCAAGGGTAACATACCTACATTTAGCACTCATTTTTATTATTCAAAACATGAAACTAACCAAAGAAACTACTTCAGACTTGTTTATCTCTAAGAAAATTAAGAAGTTAAACATTACTGTTTCAAGAAACATGTGAGATTAGGGGCAAGAATAAAAATGATTTATATTAGAATCACAAGTACTACAATGATGAGAGTGACAGAGATTCAATTTTTACATAAATAAATGCATACAGACTTAACATTTGAGAGACATTTTGAACACCATAGTAAACACTCCAACTGCGATACATTTCTTTCATCAACATTAACGGATTTAATCGCGCCAGCTTCATACATTTATTCGTCTAAATCGTCCAACATTCACAATGAGACCTTTTGTAAGTAAAAAAGGCGTAATATTGTTATGTTACGCCTTTTTTACGTTAGCGTTTTAAGGAATAGGAGACAAACGACCTGACGAATCACCTGATGATAAGCCACCGCCGCCCATGGACACCCGCAACATCAGAGGAGACACAGGTGCGTTGCTGGCCTTTTAAAAAGGACGCTCTTTTTTTGAAAGTTTGAAGGTCGTATCGGTTCAGAAATACCGCCGACGACAGATCATTCCACTGTTTTGCTGTGCGAGGTAGAAAGCTACGCGTACAGCTACACTTTTAATGAGACCTAGGGCTTTCCTACATTATGAATTTAAGGGTTAATGTAACACCAATTTTTCAACAGTTATTCTGCCATTGAGTACTACATAATAGGGAGTATCGAGTTAAAAATGAACGCTGAAATGCTTAGCAACAAATTCCACTAAACTTTGTAGTCATTGTACAAAAGAAATAAAATTTCCATACTTTTGAGCTTACTTATGTCCAAATACTGAAACGCTACTGAATTTGAAGTCGAGCTTAAGTATAGTTCTGTCACTACAAATCTATTTATATAATAATGAAACCCGTTTCCCGTTGTCACGCCGTAACTTAGGACTGGCTGGACCGATTTGGCTGATTTTTTTTGTTGACAAACAGTTGATTGTCGGGAAAAGGTTCTTATGATAGAAAAAATTCCTGAAAATCTTATGGGAACGGGAGAAAACGGGTTTGCGCGTACGAAGTCGCGGGCAGAAGCTAGTTCTGTATAAAATGACAGTGATGGCACGATATTTAAGTACAAATTAAAATTAAATAGCCTTTCAGTATTCGGGTGTTAAGACTTTCAACTTCGACTGAATTATGAGTACTTAAAAATCTTACAAGTAATATTTTGACCAACATCAAACTTAGTTTACAAATTGCAAGCGAACTAAGATTTTTGTGCAATAAGTATTAAATAAAATGAAGTGATTACAGCTATTATGCGTACCGATCATATCCTTGTACTTTATCACAAATTGCACTAGGTTTTATCCTGTGGGTGCGCTTACACACAACTACACACATCACAGCCAAATCCAGGTCAAGCACCTATATTAAAATTTATTCCTTAAAATAACGACAAAATTCGATAATTCCTTTATTAGATTTTCAACCTTAAAACTTTGTAATAAGGTTGAAAATTTATTAATGGAGATTCTGTTTTAGTAAACGATTTGTCGTAATCCTTTTCGAGAACAACCCTGTAGTAATTTTATAAGTTTAAAAAAACCTATCAGTCGATAGATGTCACAATACACTTATGATCTACGTTAATTGTCAGTAGATTTATCTACTAGAGATATACAGGGTAGAATTTTGTAATGCCACTTGAAGGGGAAGTACTCTTAATACTTAAGATAGAAAACATTCCTTTACTTTTGAAAAGAATAAAATCTGCATTCAAACATTTTTAAAATTTGATTGTCGCTCACAGTAATCGAACCGACTAAAATCTGTAAAAGTAGCAACCTGTACATTTATTGCATTGGTTGTTAGGGTCAATAAGGATGAAATCTCTCTAAGAAACTTCATAAATTGAATGAAAGGAAAACAATGAACGATTGATGCAATAAAAGTACAGGGTGCAAACTTAGACAGTTTTTAGTCAAGTTTTTAAAAACATTTGAATGCCGTTTTCTTTCTGTTCAAAAATAAAGGATGGTTTTCTTTAAGAAAATTTTCTATCTAAAGTATTAAGAGTACTTCCCCTTCAGGTGGCATCACAATTCCACCTTGGATAATTTTGATACTTTTTATACAGCGTGTAAATGGACCGCTCCCGACGAACGCGGTCTGGTTTCGATTACAAACGTATAACAAACTCGTTAAGGCCTTTGAAACTAGAACGTAACGTAACAAACAGGTAATTTGTTCAATAATATTAGTATAATTATACCTATTATCTAAGGTACGACCACTTTCTGCATCTCCGTGTCAAATACAACGCTGTACGATGTCAGTTCGACCATGTTGATAGCAGCTAGCTGCTCTGCTATACTGTAACCTTCCTTGTCAAATAACTCCACTGTTATCTCGTCGTACTCACGTGCTCTGAAAAGAGAATAAAGGATCAGTTACGAGATAAAGACATATTAATGTTTAGCTTACAACAGACACCAGTATCCAGTTTAATGGGGATGATGACAGGGTATGAAAATTAAAAATATAATTAGTCCGTAAGTTAGGTAATGAAAAAATATTAGACACGTATTTTTTTATTTTGTCGTATAATAAAACAATACTTAGATAAAACGAATCAAAGTTTAGGAGTGGGGGCTAAAACGTCATTTCTTAGTATAAAATGTACTGAGAAGTGACGTCACGCAACATTTCAAATCAATATATCTTCGAAACTATTCGTTTCTGTGAGAAAATAAAAAATACGTGTCTAATGTTTTTAAATAATCTATCAGACGGACATTAAAATAAAAATTAGTCGTCTACCCTATTGTAAAATTGTATATAATTGTGTAAATGATTATGAGAGAAATAAATAAATGATATGACAATCGGAGCGTCATCGATTCATGGTAGATGTCCCACCCACACGCATGAAGCGCTTCGCTTTCGCATCAAGCTTCCTTGTGCGTACTGCTAAAGAGTGGAATTCTTTGCCATAGTCTGTGATTCTTGAAGGGTATAAACCGGGCGTCTTCAAGGCCCGAGTGAATAGCTTGCTTATGGGACGACGTGCTACATCGTAGACACCATTATCGCTTTTCACCAGGCGAGATAGTGGTCAAACGTCGGCCATAATTATATATAAAAAAATTATAGTGTAAAATTACGATTGAGTAAAAAAAAACATAAATTCGAATGACACATAAATCATCAAGCCTTTCATCCCCGAAGGGGTAGACAGAGGTGCGCATTACGGCACTTAATGCCGCTGTACAATGTAAAATCACTATTAATGCTATGTATGAGTCCCATGTAATAGGGGGTGAGCTTATTGCCATATACCGGGCACAATTCCAGACTCCGTGCTATTACTGAGAATTTAAATCCTAGTAATACTTTGTCCTGTCTGTTCCCGGAATGGACCCCGAGTTACCTTGCCGGCAGTCGCTCTTGTGACCACTCGACCAACGAGGCAGTCAGTGAATTCGTATTTATATTTATCGTATAGTAATTTATCCCGGAAACGCGGTTCAAGTCTTTGGTAGAAGCTAGTGATGTATATTCTTCAAACTCAATTAGTCGAAGAATAAAAGTTTATTTTGACATTAGCTGTGATGACGAGTTCAGCTCATACTACTTCTGTACTTTTTTCATTTCATTTCAGTATCCTCTCGAATTACTGTCTGTGTGGTATTTTAATTATAAGTTGGTTTTATCTATTTAAACTTTAATCTACACAGAAACAAGTGATGGTAAATAAGGCGACATTAATGCTATGTGGCATTCTCTCCCAATCAACAATCTAAATTAATTAAACGTCCAAATAAAGGACAGTCGTGTTAGTTAAACTATTTATAATTCAAGAACGGCTAAATTGATTTGTCTGAAAACTTGTGCATTATATTCAAAAGGATAACCGGGTCGTGAGTATGAAGTCGCAGGCAGACTAGAGTATTGCTAGCCAAGGCCGTGTACATACATGACGTGCGCGTCGAGCACGGCGTCGTGCAGCATGTCCGCGAGCGCGCGCTTGGCCTGCGCCCACTGGTGCGAGTGGTGCGAGCGCGCGCGCACGCCGGCCAGCGCGGCGCGCACGGCCTGCGCCGGCAGCGACACGTGGCGCGCCTCCAGCACGCGCAGCTGGTCCTCCTTCACCCACATCACGGTGCCGTAGTCCAGGTACTGCACCTGCACGACGAGCGTTGTATCTGTACTCCGCGTTGGGATATACTACTATGTACAGCTCTACAATATTGACTGCACGGTTGACGCGGTGGCTGGACAACTGCCTGCCACGCAACGTGTCGCGGGTTCGATTCCCGTACGGAACAACACTTTGTGTGATCCACAGATTGTTGTTCCGGGTCTGGGTGTCATGTGTATGTGAACTTGTATGTTTATAAACACACCCACGACACAAGAGAAAATCTTAGTGTGGGGCAACGTACTTAAAAAAAAATGGAAAAGACAGTGTCAACATTAACACCATTACTAAATGAAATAGCTACCAACAGTTTTTCTTCACAGAAATAGAACTATGTGCGATAATTTAATATATGATGTTACCTCGACCGTCTGGTCAGCCCTGGTCACAGACAACACTCGAGCTCTGTACCATTTGTTGTCCAGGGGATACAGAGCAGCGACTAACTCTCCTTGTGCCGGTGCCACCTGAGAAAATGTTACAAATAATATAAAGTTTGTTGAAAATCATCCCCTAAATTTGTTCATACAAAAGTAGTATCTAAACATTGGCCATAAGGTCTATAATGTAGTTAGTAGATAGTGGTCACCGGTGACCACTATGACCGGTGACCACTTGGGGATATAATGGTTAAAATATAAGGGTAATATAGAAAAAGAGTAACAGTAAAATTATATTTGCTTCATAATAACTTCTGACTTGTACACATATGTATATCCGCGTATGTAATAACTACATGCAATAACAAAAACTGTGTGTTCCGTTTCTATAACTATTAATTACTAGTTACTTACTCTGTGTACTTACATCAAATATTTTATTAAATACTAAAATTAATTGTAATGAAACTTTTAACATAAAATTAAATTCTTAGTTTTTAGACGATGGACAAGCTAAATATAAAATCATTTTATAAATAATTTAAAAATGTTTATTCGTTAACTTATTTAGAACGAAATGCCAAAGACTGAATTGAACGAATGTATTGCGACGTTGAAAGAATTAAAAGAAAGGTTTTATTTAAACTTAGCTTAGCTAGACAACCACTAAACATGGTTTTGTGGTAGACGACAGTTAACTGTTAAACGCGTGTTTAACCCGTCGAGCGTCCGAGTGCCTTATGATCCAACGGGTGCACACGTGACATTTGGAGAAAGAAAGAAAGAAAATGCATTTATTTATTTGGCCATTGGCACACGAAAACAAGGATCATTACGATAGAAATAAAAAATAAAGTCAAAATAAAAACAAAACATTAATAATAGATTTTATAAAAGAGAAAGCAGCATGGATAATTTTTCTTATGATCCACCGGGTGCTCATAAGGACGCTCGAGGGGTTAACTATTTAGACAGTGTGTGTGTTGTCAGTATGTATTAAACTGTTCCAACTTTGTTCTCAGCTTGATCTGTTTAACTGATTTATTGCAGTAAGACCAGTTGAGAAATTGCTAACAATTAAACCATTGGACACAAAATTTTTAAGAGATCAATGATTGGATAAACACGCAGACTTGCAAAGCTACATGCACACCATCTAGTGAGCACAAAACAAAAGTCCCAGTCTTCTAAGAATTTCTTTAACTTACCGTCAGTGGCTTGTAGGCCGCTATGGTGGCAAGACTGTTCATGTCTCTCACGAGGGCTGTCAGAGTAGTCGCGGGCAGAACTACGCCAAAGCTTGGGACTTCATCTGTTAAGAGGTTACAAGAAAAACACAGTGAGAAATACCATCTAGATTTGTCCATCGAAAAGTGGTAATAGCTTTTTTTTTCTAATATCTTCCCAGTCATATCTTACGACAGCCCAGTGACGATTTAGACTTGTAAGATTGAACTTGAAAATAATATTTTTGTTTACGCGAGCGAACAGCTATTTGTTTGTTTGCCTGTCTTAAACGGCAAAACGGAGGTGCTTAACGTGATTTTTTAACTGAAGGTAGTTGAAGGGATGGATAGTCACATAGGTTACTTTTTATCTTTTTGTGACGCGAGCGAAGCCGCGGGTAAAAGCTAGTTCCATATAATTTGGTTTTCTATTATATATGTAGACAAGCGCTAAATGGCATTTGGCTATAGCTGCTGGTTACAGAGGGCCGCCGTGAGACGTAGGTACGCGCCTTATTAGGTGATTGTCAAGGGCGCTCTCTGGGCAATAGAGATCGCCAGTTCAACAAACGAGTTTTTTATAAAGCTTATAGAGACTAGTTGTGGGCTTTTGTCTTGAAGCACTTGACTACGAAATATTAGTATGTATTCTTACCTGTTTCATTTTCATCAATGATCTGCACATAGACTCTGTCGTAATGGCAGACATTTGTCACTAGGACTTTGAGCCACGTGTCCGGGGCGGGCAGGGGTATTGACTTGCATTTACCCATCACTGCGATACGATCTAAGGTCCAACCATCTGTAAAATAACCAAACCATACATAAGACTGCTTAGAACTGCTTCAAATCAATCAGAAAGAAATACAGTATGAGCGCCTTTGCTGAACGTTTTGATTGTCAGTACATTTTTATGGCATAAGCCGGTAAACGAGCAGTCCGATCAGCTGATGGTAAGCAATCGGCGTCGCCCATGGACACCCAGAACGCCAGAGGCGTTACAAGTGCGTTACCGGCCTTTTGGGTATTAGGAGTTTGGGGATCGTTGGGGATTCAGGGATTGGGGAGATTGGGGAAGGGGAGGGTAATTGGGCCTCCGGTAACCTCACTCACACGACGAAACACAACGCAAGCGTTGCTTCACGTCGGTTTTCTTTGAGGCCGTGGTATCACTCCGGTCGAGCCGGCCCATTCGTGCCGAAGCATGGCTCTCCCACACTTAAGATGATATATAAACCACTGTTGTACGGTTCATGTACTGGCTAAAGTAAAATTATTGTTTCGAGTTGGGATATGTTGATGTTTGGCTTTTATATTGTGTTATGTTTTGTTATGTGTGTGTAAATTATGTATGATCTGTGTTAATGATTGAAATAAATAGTTAATAATAATAAAATAAATAAGAATTAAAAACATACTCAAATTCAAGAAAAAAGATACTGAAATTTAGGGAATTCCTCTTTTTAGCCTTGATCGCACTACACTAATGATAGTCGAGTAGCGAGTAATTTAGCAGATCCCATCATTTAAGATGCTACTTGCGTATCTGGGATCTGATGGGATCCTATATAATAGACTAAAATGGATCGACATTTTAATAGTTTACTAAATTACTTGAACAAATACGAACTAGCTTTAGCGTGATGACAGCTAACACGGTGCCAAGTGTCGTTAGAGTCACAGTAATGTAAAAACCAAGCGATGCGTCCCCGCGTATACACCGCTATTTGTAGTTAGCGTAGTGTAGATCGAGTATTTTTGACGGCGTTTTTCAAGATTTGTCTCTGCATATCCCCATGGGAGATAGGCGTGAGGTTATGTATGTTCAAGATTTGTAGTTTCGTCATTTTTTTGTTACATTTTAAGCTTGATACAGAATATTAGTAAAATCGATTTAGCGGAGTATAAATTGTTAATGTCGAGTTATGTGAATTTAAAATTCATCTAAAGTTACCTGAAGCCTTAGTACGAGTTTCTTTTTCGTAGTAATCGAAACCAGACCGAACTCGGTTCTCTGATTGGTTTATTCATTGGAGCCGGCCAATCACAGCTCCGATAGCGTACTCGTTCCGATTACTTTAAACGCAAAAGAAATTCGTACTAAGCCCTCAGTACAAATTCTAATTAAAAGTAGTAGTTATACAGGATGTGTGTATACTAACCAGGGTGTTTAAGAATGTGTTTCTTAGTGCACCGCGCGCCTTTGAAGCAGGTCTTTTCCGGGCCGCCCTTGTAATGCTTGCAGATGTCAATCTCGTCGCGGTTTTTATAGCCCTGTTCACAAAAGATAAGACTTTTCAATTATATTATAAAACCTTTAAAGATCAAATAAGATTTTTAGTACAAAGAAGTTAAACTTTGGCTGGGCTCAAATCACAGCTGATCACTTCACCTGTTTGGTCAAAGGAGAGCCTTCTCGCGATCTCTAAACAAAGCCTGTACCTTAAAATCGCTACATTGCGACGTAAATGAAACACAAATAAATAATTTCGGATTTATAATTTTACAATGAAGATTATAAATGTAATTTTTTGTAATAAAACATAATGTAGATATTAACTAAAAATCGCTGGTTACTCACGTGAATATACTGAGAAAAGCTCTACTAGTTTCGAACTACAGAGGGGTTCTTCCTCATGTCGCGCAGCCTACTGGCCAGCGTTGGCACTCGCATCAGTAACCCGCGATTTTTAGTTCATTTAGTATGTCTCACGATAGTTATTATAAAATGTAGATATTGTTATTATTACCGTAACAGCTTCAACAGGGTCGTCATACTCGGGGCAGTCGGTTATATCGAGCCCGTCGCTCGGGCCGGCTGCCGCCAGGTCGCCAGCCAACTTGTCAACTGTAAATGTAAAACCACATCGTCAAGCTACAATACCTACCAACGGCAAGTACCAAAGTACTTTCTAAGTTAATTTAGACACTACTGACAAACAGTGTATGAAATTATCGTGAAGAAACCTGGGTTTATAATTTCTAATTATAAGTTTGACGTCGCCTACCCGCATTGAACAAGCACCGTGATTATTGTTCAGATCTTCTCCGTGTGAGAAGAGGCTTTTGGTCAGCAGTGGCCACTTATAGGTTGTTCTTGATGAAACTAATGATAGAAATAATAAATAAACGGGATCTAAGCACATAGTCATAAAACAACACCTAGACCAGGAACAACAATTAGTGAAGTGAATTTCACAAAGAATTTTTGTACGCGGGAATCGTTGCTTTGCGCAACAGCCCGACTAATTTCAATACTTAAACTGAATAAGTGATTACTTACTTGGCAGGGCTAGTCCTTGTTGCACGATTATTTTGTTGAGGGTCTCGCCGGATGGCAGTATCACGAACACGCCTAGAGATTCCGAGGTACTGAAAATAAAAAATAAATGAAATGTTTATTTAGGGTAAAAAGCATGTTGTAGAATATATAAAAAAAAAAAACGTTAGCTCCACACTAGGGTTTTCTCCTGTGTCGTGGGTGGGTTATCAAACGTACAAGTTCACATACACATGACATGCAGACTCGGAACAGCAATCTGCGGATCACACAAAGAGTTATTCCGTGCGGGAATCGAACCCGCGACGGCAGCCAGTAGCCCAACCAGCGGGCCAACCGTGCAATCGAATGAAAAAAGAATGCTTTTTTGTATTATAAACTGCAAAGTTATGGATGTTGGAATATTGAATGGTGTTCTATCTAAGCTACTACATCAACGTCTTGTGGTTAATAATGATGATACATAACATAACATCACGCCTTTTAACCCCGAGTGGGTACGCAGAGGTGCACATTATGCCACTGTACACCCACTTTTCACTATTTATGTTATGACTTCCATGTAATAGGGAGTGAGCGTATTGCCATATACCGGACACAATTTCAGACTCTGTTCTACTGTTGACATTTAAAAAAACCCAGTAATACTTTGCGAGACCCTGTGCGTGGTAGTCGCACCTGCGACCTCTCGGCCAACGGGGCAGTTGCTAATGATGATGTTATGAAGATACTAACTTATCATCCACCTCGATGCTGGCCTGCGTGCCGACGTACGCCGACATGAACACCTCCTGCTTCTCCATCAGGCTCTTGTTGTTGTAGCTTACGAGGTCCACCTATAAGTAACATGGTTCGTATTATTTATTTATTTATTTAAAGCTTAATGGACAAAATGTACATAAGGTGGACTTAATGCCGCAGGCATTTTCTACCAGTCTGACCTTTGGGTGATGCAGAGAAGAGTTAATGGTGTGAGCAAGAAGCAAGCAACTATTTATTTGTATTAGTAGATACTATTATGATTTTTTATAGTTCTGTTATTCTCCATTATTATATTTATTATTAAATAGTTTTTTTAGTCCGTGCCCTTATCATTCAATTACAATTTCTTTTTTATAGTCAATATTAATTATTATAAAAAAATCTTACATGCTACAGTACCTAATCACATTTTTTTTCACAAAGTACTTTATGTCTACTATCCACGTATGCACAGTGTGTAAACTGACCGCTCCTGGAAGACGCCGCATATTAATATTCATATCAGTTGCATACTGACCCCCGCTAGATGGCAGCAGCGTGCGTAGGGCGGTCGTGTACAGAACCGTCTGTACAGCGGTTGCACGCACTCTACGGGTGCCCCGCGCATCTCTCCCGTGTCCACCACGAAGATCTCGGCTAATGTGTTGTCCTCCTGGTAACAGATATATCAAATTAATATTTTTGTCTTTGGAGTGGAAAACTTTCATGAAAGATGAAGACAAAAGAGCCTGTCTAAAAATCATCACAACTCAAAACGCGTTTATGGGGCCGCAAGAATATGGTATAATCTAAATTTTATTAATGTAATCCTGTAACAAGCTTTCTTGTGCATACTGCTAAGGAGTAGAATTCGTTGCCAGAGACTGTATTTCCTGAAGGGTATAAACTGGGCGTCTTCAAAGCCCGAGTGAATAGCTTGCTTATGAGACGACGTGCTCCATGGTAGACCGCATCATCGCTTACCACCAGGCGAGATAGTGGTCAAACGTTAACCCATCAAATATTAATTTTAAAAAATTACGAAGTATCACACTTTTCAACGTATTGATCCCCAATTTTTAGTACAAAATATGAAATAAATTTATTTCTTTTTTGTTTTGCAATAAACTTGTTCCTTATACAACACTGTACTGTACAAGTGTAAACGCCTTTATTAACTCTTATCTATCAGTATTGCATTAGGTATTAGTTCTTGTAATGATAGCAGTATGTACAGTCAAAGGTCAAAAGTCCACTGCCACCGTGAGTGATGTTCACACGGCAATGCGTAAATAATTTCATATTAATGTGCATAAAAACGCGTGCGTACGCATAAACACACGCACGCGTACGCACACTGATAAAACATGCGTTTGCATGTGTGTATAAGCGCTGCAGCGCAACCGATAGTAGTCTTACGGTGGCAGTGGCCGTACATAGTTAATAAATAAATTGTTTTTTCTTCACCATGAAGGTGTTAAACAATCTATGAGGTTAAATATATATGTGATATTTTAAAAAGAATAATATAATACTTACATCATTTAGTTTAAGGAACAGGCCTCGGTAGTAGCACTTGCTATCATCGTCGTAGAAGGCGCAGCAGGTGAGCGTCTTCACCTCGTCCGCGGTGATGTCCCGGTGGTGGTCGCTGTAGAACTTCGTCATCTCTATCATCAGACTCGAAAGTAAAAATATATGGTTAGTGCATTGAACATGCGTTAAAAAATGTTTACATATATAGTTAGCATTTTTGTGGAGGGGATTTGAGCTGCTGTCAAATTGGTTGCAAAATCAAATACATAGTTGTTGGTGATCAAATTAACCTTAGTCTTTATTCTGGTGTTTCGGAGTTTTGTAGGCTGGTCTTATGATTATGTATCAATGAAATAAGGACACTAGGTTATTATTATAGTTTTAAAAGTAAAAAAATGTTGTTAACTACAGAGCAAGGGTCTCATCTTTGATTTCTAGTTAGAAGGGTTTTAAAAGTTTTCAGCGGTCCTTGACTGACCTCAGGATCATCACATCAGGATCAGACATTGTATAGTGAACCTGATTGAAAAAAGTAACCTATGAAGTTTCTTGCTCGTTCTTCTCCATAGGAATCTACACCTTATAGAGCAAATAGCATCACTTTAAATTTTTTGTTGACATTCAAAAATGCCTTTCTGGTCTAATTGAAATAAATGACTGCCTCGTTGGCCGAGTTGTCGCAATTGCGACTGCCGAGCAAGAGGTCTCGGGTTCAATTCCCGGGTCGGGCAAAGTATTACTGGGTTTTAAAAAAAATCTCAGTAGTAGCACGGAGTCTGGAACTGTGCCCGGTATATGGCAATAGGCTCACCCCCTATTACATGGGACTCATAACATAAATAGTGAAAAGTGGGTGTTACATTGTACTGTGGTATAATTTGCACCTCTGCCTACCCCTTCGACGATAAAAGCCGCGATGTTATGTGTTGTGAAATAAATGATTTTGACTTTGACTTGATTAAAAGTCACATTTAAATTATAGGTAGTTAGTACTCACTTCTTAACTTCATCAGGATCTTCAGTGATGACCCAGAAGAATGCACCGTCGACGTGCATGATGGTAGCATCGTATACGTGTTCTGTCTCTAGTATCGGTTGGGCTGGGAGGTTGATGCTGTCTGATGACGGGGTAGCTACTGCTGATGCTGGTGGATCTGCGGACAGGGCAAAGTTGAAATGAAATGAAAAGAGTTTTATTCAGCATACGGCATGAATGCAAGGAACAAAAAATAGCAATACAATACTTTAGTTTAGAATATCTTTATTTCTCATAAAGAATCATATACATAATTCACTTACTGAGAAACAATATTTCATACAAAAGTAAACAATTTAGAGCGCACAGTAGTACGTACATAATAATATAAACAAAAACAATACAAAAGAACAAATACAAATGTTCACTATTTAAAAATGTGAGTAAAGTGATAAATATACACAAATAACAGAATCAAGCAACACGGGCAGACCAGTAAACTATAACAAAAATATGAAGTAAATGTGGGTAAACCAATAAGTTAATCAATGACTTGATACATGAACTATTTTTACTAGATGTGGCATTGATGGCATAGTTTATACGTCTTAATGTACTTGTTTTATTTTACTATTGTACTTGGTATTTAATTTAAACTATTTAGAATTTGCCTTTTACGTTATTAGGAGTAAACACTAGTCAATATTTTAATTATACTTACAAGTATTCATAATTTGTAGTTATTAATTATATTAATTTTAAGTAATTTTTTGAACCGCACATAACTTTTTTCTTGCCTTATCATTGATGGTAGTCTATTGTATAATTAATACCTTCGAACTCCACTTCTTTTTCCATATTTAGTTCTAGGGACGGTTACTAAGTAACTCGCACGTCTAAGATTTATTTTACGTGTTTGCTGTTTTTAAAAAAATTAAGTTTGAATGGATTTCCTTATTTAATATTTTACGTATTAAAATACATGTGTAGTATACATATGTTTGTTTTATATTCATTAACCTTGTGTTCTGGTATAATTTTTCAGTAGGTGTCCGATATTTAAATTAAATAGGGTTTTGATTAATCTGTTCTGAATTCGTTGAATTTGATCTACGTTAGTTTTGCATGCAGTGCCCCAAATTTCAATGAGATAATCTATATGAGGTTTAATTAAAGAATTGTAAATTAGATATTTAACTCTTTGCGGAGACATTTTGATATATTGCGCAGTGCCCCTGAAAGTGAGCCTAGTTTAAGTTTAATTTTTTCAATGTGTGCTTTCCAGGTCAGGTTACTATCTAAGATTAGCCCAAGATATTTTTCTTTATATTTTCGTTCGAGTATTTGGCCGTCTATTTTAAGTTCAAGGTTTATCTGTTTTTTTTCTATTTTTTGCAGCAAAAATTAAATAATTTGTTTTTGTAGTATTGATAGTTAACAGATTTGACTGAAACCACTCATTCAGTAGATTAAGATCGTTCTGAGCGTCAGTCATTAGATCTTCAACTGAGTCTCCAAAATAAAACAGACTCGTATCATCAGCTATAGGGAAATGTCTCCTTTTAGGCCCAATTCACTGATGCTGTTAATATAGACAAGGAACATGAGAGGGCCCAATATGGATCCCTGAGGGACGCCGAAATCGAGAATACGGGCGCTGCTTTCACAATCACCCATTTTCACTACTTGTTTACGGTTATCCATGTATGATTTAAAAATGTCAAGTGCTTTGCCTCTAATACCACTGAGGTTTAGTTTGTGTAATAGTATGTCGTGACTAATAGTATCAAAGGCTTTCTTAAGATCTACAAATATACCCAAGACCACTTGTTTTTTATCGATACAGTTTTTTATTTTAGATACGAGATCAATTGTTGCTCCTAGAGTATTTGACTTGGCTCGAAATCCGTACTGTTTACAATAAAAGAAGTCTTTTGAATTTAGGAACATTTCTAGGCGGTTATAAAGAATCTTTTCAAAAATCTTAGAGATCACCGGGAGAACTGATATGGGGCGGTATGCTAGGGTCAAATTTACTTCCAGACTTATGAAATTGGGACAACTTTTGCAATTTTTAAACTATCTGGAAACGTACCTTTTGTTATACAGTTATTGATGCAGTCTGTTAGTTCTGTTGCAATAATAGGGGTAACGTGTTTAATCGTTTTTGTCGTCACACCATCAATACCAGATGCAGTATTACAGTCCATGTGTTTAATTATAGCAATTACTTCCTTTACTGTTACTGGTTCCAGAGAATCCATTACCAATTCGTCAGTCAATCCACACTCCTCAAACACTGTACCTGCATTAAATTTTCGTATGATCGCATTTGCCAATGTTGACCCAATAGTCGAGAAGTATAGGTTGAAGCTTTCACATATTTCTTTTTGGTCTGTAATTACACCAGCTGCCATTTCAAGTTTATCCGGTCCACTTCTGCCGTGTAGCCTATTTCTTGTCAGGTCGTTAATAAGTTGCCACATTTTTCGTGGTTTACTTGAATTTTCTTCAAACCTCCCCAGGTAGTAATCTCTCTTTGCCTTATTTATATTGTGTGAGATCGTAACTTTTATTTGTTCATATCTTTTCTTGAGTTCCGTGTTTGTTATGTCCGCTTTATATTTTTGCCATAGCACATTCTTTTTATTTATCTCCTCCAATAGTTCCTTTTTTATCCAGTCTTGTCGTGGAGGATTTAGATGTTTGACCTTTGGTATTTTGCATTCATCCAAGCCACTTTGTAATTTGTTAGAAAATATTTCGTATTCTGGTTCTTTCAAATTTTTAGAATAGTCACCTAGGTATTCAAATAGTTTATTATAATCAATGGCGTTATATTTCTGTTTAATGACAGGTGGGGGTTGGTGTTGCTTTATCTCTAAAAATAATTGTTTGTGATCAGACATCGAAGATTCCACAGTAACAATATGAAAATTATTTTCGTTAACCCTACATTACTACTCATGTTGCGACGCACAAAGAAACTACTCATACGCTTGCGAGGCGCATCATATTTACTAATGATTTTATTAAAAACCTATAAGTATGATTGATATGTTTTGACTGTTTATGTAATTTTGTAGATTACTAAAAAAAGAAAAACACATACATAACATACATAACATCACGCCTTTTATCCCCGAAGGGGTAGGCAGAGGTGTACATTATGCCACTGTACAATGTAACACCCACTTTTCACTATTTATGTTATGAGTCCCATGTAATAGGGGGTGAGCCTATTGCCATATACCGGGCACAATGCCAGACTCCGTGCTACTACTGAGATTTTTAAAAACCCAGTAATACTTTGCCCGACCCGGGATTCGAACCCGAGACCCCTTGCCCAGCGGTCGCATTTGCGACCACTCGGCCAACGAGGCAGTCATTCAACACAGTTTTAATTAATATTTATATATTTTTATTATAAAATCTTTAATCAAATAAATCTTAGAAACAAATTTTAGGATCTTAGGTAATTTAACAGTCTTCTCATTAAAAATAAAAAAACAAAAACTTAAAGTATACATTCTCTTAAAAAATAGTAAATTATGAAGTAATCAACTAAAAAAAACTAACAATGTAACAAAAAAATATTTTAGATGCATCCGATACATACATGAACTTGATGTTCGCCGCAGATAGATTTTTGGCACTTGGCGCACGTCATTTTGGACATCCTCTTCTTTTTAGATGTACAATAAGAGCAATATCTTCTTTTTTTTGGCGGTGGTGGACCCTCATTTTCTTCAGAACAGTCATCGGAAGGTTTTTTTAGGATGACTTCAATTATATCCCGGATATTGCGCTTCAACGTAGGTGCTTCTAGTCTTTTTTGCATCCATTCAGTAGTCAACTGCGTGCTAAGTTTTTTCATAAATTGTCTTCGACTTAGGGGTTTTTCATTTTTTGTGATATGTTATGACAATATATAACATATGAGTTTACAAAAGATATATTTAGCATGTCATACAAAATAGCCATTGGCCATCGGTTAGTCTTTCTAGAGCATGACATAGAGGAAGTCATTTGGTCCAATGTATCTACACCACCCTTGGTCTGGTTGTAGAACATGATCATCTCCGGCTTTCCAGTTTCATTATTTATGAGTCCTTTTTCGTTGCACGAAGATAAAAGGAACACCATTTTAGCTGGTTTTGGTTTGTAGGAAACCAAAGTCAAAGGTCCATCATAGGCGAACATGGATGTACCAACAGGTCGACGCCGGGTGTTTTTCATTTCTTGAGGAATTTCCCGTTTGTTAGATCTTATCGTACCAACAAGCGTGAGTTTGTATGGTTCAGCAAGTAGTGATTTGGCCAGCGATACAGACGTGAACCAATTATCACATGTCACGTTACGATTAGTGCCATGTATAGGACGGGTCAATTCCTTTACGTAGTACTCTCCCTGAGGTAATCCTCCGGTGTCGGTGGCTCTTCCGATGTATGGCAAAGCGTTAACCATATATTTTGTACTATTGTCACACATCATAGGTATTTTGATCCCGTACTTGTTTGGTTTATTCGGAATGTACATCCGAAAGGGGCACCTGCCTCGAAATCCAACCAACTGTTCATCTACTGTTAGGTAGTTTCCCGGTGTGTAGTTAGACTTGCACTGCTCTATAAACATCTCCCATATCTTCCTGATCGGAATAAAAGGATCTTCTTGGCGTACGGCAGGACGCAAAGTCTTGTCATCCATTCTCAAACATCGCGTGAGAAAGTTAAAACGCTCCTTGCTCATCACAGCTAAATACCTAGACCCTGAAAAGGTACTATCAAATAGCTCAGTTGCAGTTAGGTGGTTATCTTTCATTGCAGCAGTTAGCGTCAAAATACCAAAATAGGCTCTAATTTCTATGGAGCATGTATCTCTGTAGGTAGCGTGGGTATTTCCTACTGGAAATACCCTGGAAATATCTAGGAAAAGACCTACTGGTCTTTTCCTAGATATTTCCACATTTGTCCACTTCACTATCTCACCAACAATGTCTTCCGTGATGAATAAATCAAAAGACACACTAGGCTCAAAGATATTTCTACACATCCTAGTAGGGCCTCTAGAAGTGTACACAATGTTTATAGCAGTGGTTCTACCTCGACTTTCACCTTTAGAAGTAGACCAACAGTGCTGATTCTTGCCCTTCAATGTTCGACGCGCCGGGACTAGGAT